ATGATTTCTGAAGGATCATGTGACACTGAAGACTGGAGTAATGATGCTGAAAATACAGCTTTGATCACAGGAATACAGTATGTTAAAACATTCAAATAGATATTTTAAATTGACACATTTCACAATATTACAGTGTTTACTGTATTATTAATAAATAAATGCAGCCTTGGTGAACATAAGAGACTTTCTAAAAATAAAAAAAGAGAGGGGGGAGGAGGCCTGAAAATATTTTTCTCTACAAAAGGGGGGCCCGGCCGAAAAAGTTTGGGAACCACTGATCTACACCTTGGCCTAAATCCCCAAAGGTAAGATCTTTAATTAATTTCTTGGTCTGTATTATTAAATATTAAGTATTGCATCATAACGCTAGTTGCATATAAAATATATCACTTAAAGATGCACGATATTATCGGACCGATATCGGAATCGGCCGATACTGGCTTTAAAATGTACATATCGGTATCGGCACGATATGAAAAAATGCTCCGGGTGTGCTAGTGATTAGATCACGTCAGCAGTGTGGCTCATTCTTGAAGTTTTGTCTGAATGATGATTAGATTCACTGTTTTGGATCATTTCATTTGGAAATGAAAGTAAAATACACAAATAGCATTTAGACTGTGTTTATGATTAAATAAAGCAGTAATTGATGAAATAAAATCATGAGTATATTTTGATTTAAAGGTCAGAAGCTATAGCTTACATGAATAAAAAAAAATCACAAACATGACACTTTATATGACACTTAAATAATTTTATATATACTGATTTATTCATTATTGTGTAATGTTCAGTGTTTCCCACAGACTTGCACTTTATTTGTGGCAGCATATTAATGCTAATTCATTCTCTGCCAGCAGGAGGCGCTGTTGGAGTGGTAGAGATTGAGGTTTCCCCGGTAACCGCTGTACACAAAGCAGCGCTGCGCTCACAAACGCTGCTGTATCAGACATTACATTCAAGATGAAATGAAAATGACACCCAAAATTTTCTGAAGACAGTCGGTTTGCTTCAGAAATACAGTGATATATAAACACTCGCACCGGGTTTTGATTTTGAAACGTGCTGTGCTCATGTTTATTCAACGAAGTCAAAGCCTTTTGGAAAATCTATTTGTGGCGGTCAGATTTGATATCGTGGCGGGCCGCAATGTATGGGAAACACTGATGTTATATTTTTTTTATCAAATTATGAGCTCTAAAAGATTTTCTGAATTTTTACAACTCTTTTGCTTTAGGCCATCTACAAACGTTAAATCTTAAAATAAAATGTTAAGGTTACTACTTCATCTTTTTGAAAAACAATGCAGCAATTGATCGTTTATTTATAGTTATTTTCAAAGCTTCAATGTACTGTCATTATAAAAAAACTTCATTATTGTTTATTTAATTCTAACAAATAAGTTCTTGTTAAAAACTAACCAAAATTAAAAATAATTTGCTTATAATTTCCACACAGGAGAGACTTGGTGTTGTTTCCAAATAAAAGGAAATATATCGGTATCGGCCAAAAAGAGTTGAAAAATATCGGCATATCGGATATTGGCAAAAATCCAATATCGTGCATCCATAATATCACTATTACTAGGGATGTGTTTACGACAACTACGAATTTTCAATAGCATTCAGCACATATAAGAACACTAATAACCAGGGGCCATATATTCATAAGAAACTCTTAAGAAGAAAAAAAAAAAGTGTTACACTAGCCTTATAAGAGGAAAGTTGAGATGTTTAATTAATTAGGTCGTTTCAAGTATAAAGAATTACAAAATTATAACACTTACTACAACTATACATACACATACAAGTGCTTTTTCACTTATAGTGGACTCTAAGCACAACTGCTCCTGCATTTACTCTCAGTAGGTGCCACAACCTCCGGTGCAGCCCAGTGTATGGATGATGTGAGAAAATTAAGCATGAAACTAAATCTTAAAGGAATTAAAGGAAAAGAGTCACATTGTTTTAAATATAATATAATAAAATGTTACGTTTACTGTAGTTAAAAACATATATCACTTAACATTATGATCACGTAACAATGAGATTTTAGCAAAAACACAAATATATCTTAAGAAGATTTTTTTGTGAATCCACACACAGCATCCTCTCAGAATACAACAGCAACCACAAAGCAACGTAACCGATATTTTAAACCAATATATTTCTGGTGTAAAAATTTAAATGAATGTCAAAATTAAAAATAACAAGGGCTCTGACAAAAACTTTCTTTAAATGCTTTTAAATTATTTTATCGGCAAATCTGTTTTTAAAATGACCGATACCGATAACCATAAAAATGCTTAATATCGGCACCGATAATCGGTTGACCCCTAGTCTGAATGCAATTCAAATGTTATCATGATAAAACATCAATGAATCATAATTAAAAGAACATGAAGGGAGTAGATTCCTTCTTTTCTTTATTCTTATCTCGGCGGATTCCCTCTTCACTCTCTTTCTGTTACTTCACTGACATTTCCATCTCACCGAGCCCAACGCTCGTATAATCATTAGTCAGTGCTTCTCTCCCCAGTTTACACATGACCCCCCTTGTGCCAAAAAAGGCAAATTCTCCCGTGAATTAAACAAACGTGGCGAACGGACCTGCAGGTCTATTCTAAATAGGGCTGGGCAAAAAAAATAGATTTTTCGATTAATCGTTTTTTAAAATGACGTCGATTCAATATCGATTCTCAAAAGCCGCGAATCGATCTTTTCCGGGATTTATTTCAGCACACATTTAAAATAAGATCTGATTAACGTGAATCATTAGTCTTCTCCACTAGATGTCACCCTTATTTACCTTGCGCGATGTTACAACAGAAAGCTACCGTCATATCACATACACAGCAGCTGCAAGTTCTTCACGGCAACCCGTCAAAATAAACGTTTAGTTTAACGTTAAGAAACTGTCAGCTGTCTGTTGCAACTGTCAACGTTAGCAACTATATTACTATTTAGCAGTCTTAAGAAGAATCGAATCGGGACATCTGAATCGATACCCAGCCCTAATTCTAAAGCTCAGTTAAACAAACAGAGGAGGAAGTGCGGGGTACACACATGCCCTTTATTGTGCTGCCGTGAGTCGGTGAAGGAAAACGGTGGGAAGGGGGGTGTATCTGGACTGGAAAAACAGCTCTGTGGAAGATAGAGAGACACAAGTGCTTCCACACCCACTGTCACTCAGGCTGACGGAGGTGAACGACAGGCCGCATTGTTCCTGTCCATGGCGTGAATGCCACGCTGAGGCTGACAGAGATAAGAGCTGAATGCATAGCTGTTCTCAGTATGTATGTGAGGGTAGTGACGGTGGCCACTTTGTCATTGCACCCGGACTTAAGGGGCTTCAGAGCTGATTACCAAAGAGGCCTGCAGGTTACACACGCTTATCTGTGGACGTTATCACCTGCTTCCTTGCAATGATGTATTGAAGGATTCGGCTTTACTGGGCAGATGCAGACATGTGCACTCGCTTCTGCTTGACACACCGGTTAAACCATTTACTTCTTCTGGAAAGTTTGTGAATATTTCTCATTTAGAGTCATGAACGTGCATGCCAGGTTTCGACACACTGATGCGTTTTGGAAAGGCTGTACAGATTTTGCAACATTTGTCATACAAAAATGGGCTTCCATGCAACGTAGCAACACTGAAAAACAGCACACCAAAAAAATTATTGTAGCTCGTCAAACACTAAAATATAAAAATACATGAAAAACCCAAAAGGTTTACTTGAAATTGAAGACTCATCTTCTGAATCATCCAAGAACAAAAAAAAAACTTTTTTTGTTGTTTGATGGGCTTCCATGCAACGTAGCAACACTGAAAAACAGCACACCAAAAAAATTATTGTAGCTCGTCAAACACTAAAATATAAAAATACATGAAAAACCCAAAAGGTTTACTTGAAATTGAAGACTCATCTTCTGAATCATCCAAGAACGTTTTTGTTTTTTGGGTAACACTTTAGTAGAGGGACCAATTCTCACTTTTAACTAGTTGTTTATTAGCATGCCTATTATTACGTATTAAGTGTTTATTAGTACGTATAAAGCACATATTCTGCATGACCATATTCTACATCCCTAATCCTAACCAATACCTAAAATGAACAACTACCTTACTAACTATTAAAGTAATAAGCAGCAAATTAGAAGTTTATTGAGGCATAAGTCATAGTTAATGGTTTCTTAATAGCAAGAATTGGACCTTAAAATAAAGTGTGAAGCATTTTTTTTCTTTCTTTAATATAGTTGAGTTTCATGGTCAAACAAATCTGTCTAGAACAGCAGAGCTTTGCTGGAATCTAATGGGAAAAGTTTGGTACTGCACACAAACAAAATAATTTTTTGAGATATCAACCTCAAATTTGGAACACAACTTGTTTAGATTTATGGCTTCGATTTTCTAGCAATTTCTGGGTTCAACATGTTTTATAAAATATATATTTTATATTAAAAATTGCTCATAAATCATTTTCATAAACTTAGACCTCTATAACTTTTTTTTGGTTTAAATTTTTTTACAACATTTTACAATAATCTGCCACGGGTCTACTTTAAAATGAGACCAAACTTAAGTTTGTACTCCCAAGCTTCAAATTTTTATGACAGTTTTTGGACATTTTTGTCCTTATGAACCTGCTAACGTTATGTGCAACATTTGTAATTGACTCACAAGAGTTAACATCCACAGCACGCACAAATACAGAGTCTGACCACCTTGTGACACTAATCAGACATTAATAAAGATCCCGTATTAGTGTAGATTCAGTATGAACTCTCCAGTCCAGACAAACCGTGCTGACAGCTTCGTTACATGCTGCTCTCACTGCACACATGAGCGCAGAAACACGAGCAAACAAAGCACGAAGAACCCCACATTAGCCCAGACACAACAGCATTTAACAATACGCGACTATTTTAAATGGAATCGTCAGCAAAGCTAAAACAAACATTGCGCAATCCGCTCGCTATAGGAATGTAAACACGGTACCTGTTTGAACTGCGGAATCCCGCGTGCGACGGATGAAATCAAAACATGCGACGGTGAAACTGATAAGCCCCGCAGCGGAGGAGAGCTGTCTGCAGCACTGCCTGAATTTTCCTATCTTTCTTTCTTTCTTAAAAAATACATTTAAAAATTGGGAAAAAATAACATCGAGTAAACAATTACTAATTACTCTTTAAAAATTGACCATGGTAACCATAGTTTACAAAAAACAAATGCCCATTATCAATTGTTTATTGACTATAAACACAAAAAAGCTATTTTACATTTATTTAAATAAAATAATTATTTACATTACAGTGGTGGCTGATACTGAGTAAGCAATTGCTTATTAAATTCATAAATCAATATGGGGTGTTTTTTAAGAGAAGTTTTTCGATTTTTTTTTAACAATTAACAATTTCCTATTCATGAACTAACTTTTTTTTTCTGTTACTTATTCTACTACATTTTATTTTATTTTATTTTATTTTATTTTATTATAGCTGAATCATCCAAGGAAAATTGTGGCTATTGATTGATCACAATAAATTCATATGGAATCTCTTCAAATATTTAGTAATTTGTAATGTATTTGTATAGCTGTTTTTCAAGAGAGTGACGAGTGGTACTGATGAATTATTTAGTTGAATCTAATATTTTTATTATTATGCTTCCATGTAAATGCACTACATCTGATACTATTAGTGTACCACGGTACTGTCTAAAAATGATACCATGTCTGGAACCCAGGAAGAAGGAATCAAGCGCAATGTGAAAAGTCCCCCTGCTGGGTAGAGCAGCGACTCAGTAAACAGCTCAGTCCTTTTTTGTTTCCCTCCTCTATTTCATCCTTTCTCTAATTGAGAAAACGGGAGGGGGAAAGTCCAGTCTAATCCACTGAGCACATAGCGGCCTTTCATACCTGCACGGGGTGAGAGAGAGAGACCTTTATTTGTACGTTTGTATCATGGAGAAGAGGTTTCAGGCTCAGCTGGGTCTGTGCAAAAAGATTAGATGTAACAAGAGCACTTTAAACCTCTTTAGAGGCCCTGGATTAGCTCAACTGAGGGTTACTCCATCTCTCTTAAATGAGACAATACGATTCACAAGGACACAGGTGCTGCCCAGAATGTTGAAGGAATGTGAGACCATCTACAGATGAGGAAATTTAAAGCATTAATACATTTTTTCAAGGTAGTTCGGAAAAGCCATCATGGTGAGAGTCTCAAACAGTGTGGGAACAAACCTTCTAATAACCTATTACTCTTTCTATTTCTGCAGTATGTATACTGTCATCAAATCACAATGCAATGCACCTCCACTTTTCAGTTTGACAAATGAACTGTAGTAAGAAAATTAAACTGTATTGAAAAATTAATTATACAGAAATGGTTAAAATTGTAGATATATTAAAACACATACAACTAAAATAAATTCACAAATAAATACAAAAATGGTAAACAACCATATTTATTGACTGATGTAGAGTATTATTGTTTGAAAAGTTTATTTTTGCTTGTGATCTGTATTTACAATGCTCTAATTGTTACTAAAGATTATATCACAAGATTTAGATCAAACAAACAACGGACGGACGGACGGACGGACGGACAGACAGACAGACAGATAGATAGATAGATAGATAGATAGATAGATAGATAGATAGATAGATAGATAGATAGATAGATAGATAGATAGATAGATAGATAGATAGATAGATAGATAGATAGATAGATAGATAGATAGATAGATAGATAGATAGATAGATAGATAGATAGATAGATAGATAGATAGATAGATAGATAGATAGATAGATAGATAGATAGATAGATAGATAGATAGATAGATAGATAGATAGATAGATAGATAGATAGATAGATAGATAGATAGATAGATAGATAGATAGATAGATAGATAGATAGATAGATAGATAGATAGATAGATAGATAGATAGATAGATAGATAGATAGATAGATAGATAGATAGATAGATAGATAGATAGATAGATAGATAGATAGATAGATAGATAGATAGATAGATAGATAGATAGATAGATAGATAGATAGATAGATAGATAGATAGATAGATAGATAGATAGATAGATAGATAGATAGATAGATAGATAGATAGATAGATAGATAGATAGATAGATAGATAGATAGATAGATAGATAGATAGATAGATAGATAGATAGATAGATAGATAGATAGATAGATAGATAGATAGATAGATAGATAGATAGATAGATAGATAGATAGATAGATAGATAGATAGATAGATAGATAGATAGATAGATAGATAGATAGATAGATAGATAGATAGATAGATAGATAGATAGATAGATAGATAGATAGATAGATAGATAGATAGATAGATAGATAGATAGATAGATAGATAGATAGATAGATAGATAGATAGATAGATAGATAGATAGATAGATAGATAGATAGATAGATAGATAGATAGATAGATAGATAGATAGATAGATAGATAGATAGATAGATAGATAGATAGATAGATAGATAGACAGATAGATAGATAGATAGATACATAGATAGATAGATAGATAGATACTCTTTTAGATATGAATAGTTTTTAACCAGAAATGAAATAGCATACTGTAACTCATTAGTATACAGTGTATAGTAAGCTGTGTTCAGTGAATAGTACGCTAGTATTCTATTCTGTCAGTCAGTCATAAGATGCAATTAATGTAAATGGCAGGCAGCAGGGCCACTGACCCTGTAGAGGGGGCCATTAGATGCACATCTTCTGCTCGGGCCAGTCAGATGCCATGCCCCACGTAACCATGAATTATTGGTGCCATCTCAGATTACCCACAATACACTACAATGCCAGTGAGGGAGCGCTGCGGTCTCCCTGGGCTTGAGGAGGGGGGCCAACATTGTCCATCTTGACGGTGGAGGAGGAAAAGAAATCTCTTGGCTCTCTCTCACACAAGGCCATGTAGGTCAGTTTACAGCTCATCACTAAATTAGATAAGCTTTTAGTCAAACAAGCCTCTCTTTTAGACTGGTCAGGCATGAACTTGATATTACTGATCATTAAAAAAAATACTACAGTAAATACTGCACACATCTAATGGAAATAATTTAACTGTACTATTCTACATTTAACACTTGTGCATGTATTTACTGTTAGTGCTCCATTATTTAGTGATGACCCTGCTGAAGAGATCAGCATAGACGGTCACTAGTTAGTCAGTAAAATAAATATCTTCATATACATTAATTATTACAAAATATTTTAAAAGTTATTTATTTATTATGAGTTTATTTGTACATGGACAGTACAAAAACATAATCTTCCAAAAAATCTGAAAGACAAAAATATGCATTGATGGTAAACAAATCTTACATCACAAGCTCATTTGCATATCAGGTCCCTAGAAAGGCATTTATGTTACAAAAGATTTTGGTTTCAAATAAATGCTGCTCTTTCTATTCATCAAAGAATCACAAAAATGTACCATGGCTTTCACAAACATATTAAGCTGTTTTCAACTGTTTTCTACATTGATAATAATAAGATATTTTCTTGAGCAGCGAATCAGCATATTAGAATGATTTCTGAAGGATCATGTGACACTGAAGACTGGAGTAATGATGCTGAAAATTCACATGCAGGAATAATATGTATAACACACACATATAAATATAACCCAAACTTTTGAACAGTAGAATATATATATATGGGTAGTTGACAAATATACCGTAAATGTGTCCTATGGTGTGACAGCAAAAATTTAGAAAAAAAACTAACAATGAAGAAAATCTCTCTTATGCTATTTGTTCAATTCAATTCAATTCAATTCAAGTTTATTCACACAGAGACACACACACAGACACACACACACACACACAGACACGTGTGTGTGTGTCATACACTTTATTTCTTTCTTTCTAGAAACTATTCAAATACTCATTCAATGAAAACTCTAGATGGTTATAATTGGCTCAGAACGAAGCAAAAATGAATGGAAAGAGGTATGTTTACTTTAGATATTTTAGGTATGTTATGTTTGATTTTTTCACTTCAGATGTCTCTGTCTCTTGTGTTTGTCTTGGACGTGTCTGTGGCGTGTGGGTGCAGGATCTCAGGGAGGGTGCGGATGGACTGCTGGGGTCTGGAAGGCACCTGATGGTGTCTGTGAAAAGCAGAATGTAATAACACTCGTACGGCAGAAGGGGATGAGAGAGGATCCTACATTAGAGCCTCACAGCCTTATCTGAGCAGATGAACCTCGCTACAGCTCTCGCTGATGCCCTCGCTCTCAATGCCTTCCCACAGATGCGAAACAGTTACAGTAGTTTGGAAAAAAATGTAGCACTTGGTTTGTTATTTTGTTATCTAATGCAATGGCATTTATTTGAAGTGTGGCTTTAAGTGTCCAAATACTTTATATTGTTTTTATACAGTTAAATATCATTATATGGATACTTCCTTTCATAATAATTGCATAAAAACAAATCAAAGATTGTAAATCATATGATCATGAATATCATCTACTCTATATGACGTTCAACACAGATAATATCCTGATGTTCTGTACAGACATTAACCAAAAATGTATGAACAAATATCAACATTATATTCACGTTCGCATTCTGTTTTCATACCATACTTTTCAAAAGTTTGGGGTCAATAAGATTTTTTCATGTTTTTCAGGACAGTAAAAGAGTAATATTGTAAAATATTATTACAATTTCAAATATTTGTTGTTCTATTTGTGATCAAAGCTGTATTTTCAGCATCATTACTCCAGTCTTCAGTGTCACATGATCCTTCAGAAATCATTCTAATATGCTGATTTGCTGCTCAAGAAACATTTCTGATTATGTATAAACACACACACTCACACACACACACACACACACTCACACACGTCTGGTCAGCTATCCTTGTGGGGACTCTCCATAGGCGTAATGGTTTTTCTACTGTACAGACCGTATATTCTATTGCCCTACACCAACCCTACACCTAAACCTACCCCTCACAGGAAACTTTCTGCATTTTTAGATTTTCAA